GAGATTACAATCTTTGACGGTACCGTTTATAATGCCTAGCTGACCAGTATACGCTTCGATACTTTCGCTGCTTTGACTGATTTTGAAGCAGTTTGCTTTCTTTTATCCCTTTTTGAAGGGTGAGGCGCAGCACTTATATTTGGGTCATTTGTTTGTTACATAAATTTTCTTTTATTTTTGGCAGGATTGCGGAACTGTATCTTATTCCCAGCGGTCACACCGTCTGCAGCTTTTAATTAATAAGAAATTTTGTGAAGAAAAGAGGAATCAAACCTTAGACTTCTCCCATGCAAACGGATTGATGTACTCGTGAGCTATATACTCACTCGATTGCTATCACAGAGACACAGTGAATGGGAATGATTTAATAATTGTTCAAGAAATTAGTGATAGATGTGGTATCCTAACTTATTGTAAACCGTTTTTTTCGGAAGTTTTCTTTGAAGAATATAGTCAACTTTTGATCAGTTTTCAATGTTTATATGAAGTACTGTGGGCACTTCTTGCTCATAAACAATAGCGCTTGGTAAAATGTAGTTACCCTAGGCAGGTGGTTACACGCGGTATACGGTGTTTTTTTTGCGAATTGAATCGCTTTACTCGTGGTCAAACCTTCGACTTGGGTAGATGAACTTTTACTGCAGGAAATAAGTGCGAAACAGCTGCTACGTTGTAACGAAATTTTTTGAAAAACTATGATAGGTTGAAGCTGTGATCTATTTTAAGTGGCTGTTAATTGGATATAAATGGTTTAATAAAAACAGAAGCAATTAGAGAAAGCTAAATTGGTGCTCAACCTAAGAGCGACATTTATGAGCTAGGTGTTTGCGAAATCAATTATAGGCTTGCATTAGCTCTAACCCTTCCCAAGTGGATTTTAGCGGTCAGTTTCCTGACCTGCGGCCGAATGACCTGCTGATGAGTTACGCATATGCGCTTTTAGCTTTTCCTGCACTTATTCTTCATACTTCTTCTCCACAATATTCCCCCCTCTGTTTTCACTTCTCCGGCTTTTAATGTTCTATTTTTTAATTCTGCTTCTAGTCTTCTCTTTCTGCATTCTTCAGCTTCGCCTCACTTCATATATTATTTTCGTTCTGAAATAATTCTTGCTTCTTTTGTTTCAGAAAACTTTTCATCTTAATAGGAGTGTGCTTTACCTGTATTCTGTAATATTCTACGTTCTTCTTTATTTTGTTCTACCGAAGATTTGCGAAACGGACTACTCTGAAATCCAGCATACTCAGGGTTAATTTCGTAGAAGTTACAAAAATCAACTCGTTTATAGACAAGGACATCTTATTTTGTCGGCCTACAATTGCTAAAGCTTTATGGAGGACGCTATTAGAACGCTATTTGATTCTTGTGCGCTACAGAATTATTAGGTCATGAGACCTGGCGCTAGTAAAAATGGTCATTCTGTAGATTTCAGTTCAACGTCTTGTAAAATCAAATAATAAAGAAGTGCACAGAATGACGGCAGCAACGACCAGACAGCCATCTGATTGACAGTAAGAAATTGCGCCTGTTAGGAGCCAAATACAAGTTTGGTTTGTAGCGAAGAATATCTTGTGCGTTGAAGGCACACAGTGAAGAGTGACAATGGGGAAATGGTATAAAAGGCGCATCAGTGGATTTATCAGACAACCGAATTTATCAGAATGAGGGACTTTTTGCTGTCTGTGAAACAACAACGGACGGATTCGCATTTTCGTTCTGAGCACCTGAGAAATGAATGGAGGGGAGAAGTTGATGGTTGCTGTGAGAGTTTTTTTTGAGCTTTTGATCGACAACGAGGCGTCTCGCACACGGAGTGGTAATTATTTCATTACGCTGTAATGAAGAACTGTATCACCTATTCGTTTTGACCACTTCATTTGTTCGAGATACTCAGAGAAAAACGTCTGTGATTACTGCAGCTCTTCAACTGACTCTTTCTATTGCCATTGTTTATTGTACGCGACTTGCTGGTATCGAGTGTTTGATATTTGCAGATCTGTCAGTAATATCGCGAAATTGAAAACAAAAAAACTTTATTTCATGAATTTCGTTTTAACACTAAATAGAAGTGGCTGTGAATGCCTAAAAAGAGATATTTGAAAGCGTTCCGACATTCTTTTGTATTAACGAAGGAATGTAACCATAAATTATCTTATGGACTACGAATTTTGAAGGAATAAACTATTTTCAATTAGGGGCAAAAGTAAAAGATTAATGAGGAGTAACTGAGTTTGTCAATTAGTAAATGGTCACTGTTTTACCTTTTGGTGTTGATGAAGCAATTTTGAATCACGGATTGCTGTCTTGCTGTGACTGAATTGGTCACGCAGCAGCTTTGTTAGGGCCGACAGAACGTAAACAAATTACAATGCTACATCGCAAACCTGACAATTATAGTCGTCTAGCTCTGGCACTCACTGAAAAACTATCTGAAAATAAGGAGTGTGGGACCGGAACCTTTTTTAGGCCCACAGAACTCATTAACGGTGAGCTGCTTTCCTCTATACATTACTGCAGTGTTGAACACGGCACGGTTTCAGGGCTTCAGTAGAGAAAGATAGGTTGATCGACTGGTGAGCAGGTTGCCAAGCAAAGTGGTTCCTGGAAACGTTATTAACTGTTTCTCGCACAGTATTGTTCTAAAGCATTTCCAGTGCCAGCGTAAACAGCTCACTGGGCTTGCAAACTGGAGATCTCAACGTGCTGATTCGCTAGTCGCTTTCCGGCTGGAAGATTGAGGAAAGGAAACAGAGAACGACGAAGGGAATAGGGAAGCGATAAAGGAGAAGGATATAGCTGCGACGCTGTTTCACACTTCCCTGTGGGCTATTACACACCAAATGGAACAACGTTTTTGTTCAAATCTTCAAATTTTTTCTTTATTATAAATTTGTAGCGTACGGTACCTGACTGCAAAATTACAAGTGCTTATCTCAGAAAGCGCGCTAGTGGTGGAGTATAATCGTTCTAAAATGCACAAAAGTTGTATTTTATGGTAAGATAGTCATTATTAAGGTCTTTTAAGTTTGTCTACTCATAAAAGACTTCCGTGACTTACAAACTTTTGAAAGGATGCCTCCTACAGAATTAGAGAAGTTGTGGGACGTGTTTAATAAGATGTGCACAAGAAATTACCGTCAACGCAGAAATTCAAAACATTTTTTAAAAAATTTATGTTTTTAATTTTTTAAAAATGATGTTTTCTAAAAAACATTGTTACGCGAAATACTGAAATTGTAAGATGCCATTCTAAGATATCTTGAGTTACGATGCGACAATGAGGAGAGACTGCAAAACTCTCAATCTGTGCACTGTTTTAACTCTTCTGTAACTGACAAAGTTGCGGTTTCAGCTTAAACATTGCTCTGCTTTGACATGTTTTACTTTGTGTAGTTTGGCAACAAGAATTTTAAAAGCTGTTTTGCCACTTAGTGATCTCAGCAAGATTTTTATAAAAACTTATTGTTTTTTTAGTTAGTTTTTTACTGTGTATATTTATGCTTTACCACTGAGTTCGGTCGCCTAAAATGACTTTAGTTAAGTGGCGGTGAATATTATTTTTCTGCTTATATCCTTACAACACTATTCATCTGCGACTTTCCTATGGACTTAAGATGTAGATCTCCAAAACACCACCTAGTGGCAGAACAAGGCAAAAGCCATTACCAATTCATCTGCAGGATATCTTACCAAAAATAATTCTTCCACGTTTATTGTTTTTATATACTCTTTGCAGTATCCAAATTTGTATTCATAACGTGGTAGCCGCAGATATAGTCTAGTATTGCCCTTCAAGCTTTTTGAAGGGTAAAGGTAATTCGAAGTGAATGTAATTTGAAGAACATTGTTCACTTTTTTGTGGAATTGTATGCAGTACGAAAAATGCAAGAAATGTCCTGATTTTATTTTTATTTTAGGGATCTTCTCGTTGCAATAGAAGGCACTTTTTTCTAAAAGCACACAGAATATGTCCTTGTTGATGGCGTGGGAGGCAGAGTAGAAGCGGAAACTGACGGAAAAGGAAGACATTTTTCAGGCCTTATCTTAATTGCCAAATACTTTTACAATGGGACTTTAAACCGTCTGCATTTCTGCTTCTGTAATTAGAAGGAAATGAAGGAATATGATGAGCATAACTTGATAGAATTTTGGAGTGGATGCGATAGGTGGGCTTAAAATAAAATGCTATGACAGCTTTCCTTCCTCGCATTATTATAAAATTAGGGAACATGCAGCAGCTCAAAATTTTAGCTGTATGGTTCTTCGTAAATTTTAGAAATAGTGCGACTGAGAGGGACAAATGTGCTAAATATAGGCCAATTATAAAATGCTGGGGGAACAAGCATTATGCTTATCCCACATAAGTCTACGAGAATGAACTGCTCTCGCTCTTCTTTTTGTAGAACCTTGTGAGAAGTAAAAGACATCACGAGGCCATGACCAGACGGGAATCGAATTCGAATTTATCCGTTAAAAGTCAAATTTCTCTGGTTCTCAATACCGGGTTATTCAGGACCTGAAGAATTCACGTTGTCGCGCATGCTCTGCAGAACATGGAGTTAAAGCGTGAAGCGAAAGAATTACCTATTGTGATTGCTGAAGTAATTCTAAAGTATGGGACGTAAACAAACTTTATCTTTAACAACCACACAGCAAAAAAAACGTCTGCAGTAGATGACATCTCTGGTACTCCTATTCTATAATTTGGTGAGTATTCTACGACATGAAATTTACTTCACCACTAAAAGATTCACCTCATAAGTCTCTGATTAGAAACCGGACGTTTCCTTCATAAGCTACGGACGTACCATCACAAGTGAATATCGCTTAGTATTCCTATAACATTCAAAGCCCAACGCATCTATGATCGACCACTTCTCCTGTTAGATTCAATAAATATGACAGTTTTGAGTAGTTCTGCAAACTGGGGAGTAAAATTATCTACCACGTATTCTTGAAAATGGGGAACTAGCTTTCAAAATCGACCACAAGCAACTTTCTCAATCCAGAACTCGATGACAACTCAAGTCTAAGTCCCGACTGTGATCTGAGCGGGAAGCTCCAGCTTTCTGATAACAAGCCAGACACCTTCCCATTATTTCATTGCGTCTGCAGACAAATAGTGCAGGAGTGTGCTGCTGGTTATCTATAGCACAGAGTCATATATAGATAAAACTGAATGACCTTGTTCTGAACGACTAGAAATGCAAGATTTTGTTCTTTCACGGAGAGAAAAACGTACCGATTGATAGGCTTTCAAAGCAAGAGATCAAGTTTTTTAAAAGCTGATTTTCCCTATCCTCTCTCTTCACGACTTAAAGAGTGCCAAAACACTTTACATTATTCTGAAACCGACGGAATTCAGATTTCCAGCTTTTCCGGAAACACATTGGTTGCATTGCGTCAGGTCTAGTTTCTGCACAGAGGACAGCATATTCTACGAAGGGGAGCTGAGATCTCAGCTTCTGTACTAACCGCGACGGGCCTCAAACATGCATTGTTCTTCCTAGAAGTCAGACGCTTGGTGCATTCGGACACGGGGCCGACGATACTTTCTGACGGACCAAACATTGCTCCACCCTCTCGAGAACGGGGCTCATTTGAACAATCTAAGCGAAACATTTTGAGAGCATTCAGCACCTCAACACTTACCTTGAAAAAAAATTCCATGCAGTTGACAAATATTCAACTCCACTTATCACAACTATGGCATTAGATCTCTACATTCACGTTGCTCATAGTGTGATTCTGCAAACCAACATCGATCCGAGATCATAGACCTTGTATTGACCCCGACGGGACTCAAACCCGCATTTTTCTCATTACAACACAGACAATTTGTTCATAAAGCGATTGGGCGGGTGATATTTTCTCAATTTCCGAGCATATCCTCAACGCCTAAAAAACCGATCTAACTCAAGCAATCTTTGCAAGAGGTTTTCTCAGCGATAAGTATTTGGACATTAATTGTGCAATATATTTCACACATCTATTGTTCATTCAATTCCCCTTATCACAACTATGGTATTCTGGTTTGTAGACTCGCGATGAGTGCACCGTGTTTCTCAGAATCCCCTGGAAGACGAGGTCGCAGATTTCAGATTGACCCCAACGGCATTTGAACCGGCATTCTTCTGCTTAGACCTCAGACAGACGCCTTGTCTATTAGGACACGGGAGCCCGTGGTATTTTCTGAATTTTCGAGCATCCCTTTAAGGTCTAAAAAACGGGACTCACTCAAACAATCTTTGCAGCAGGTTTTCTCAGCGATAAGTATTTGGAGATTAATTGTGCAAAATATTTCACGCATTTATCTTTCATTTCATTGTGCATACCACAAGTACTGCATTCTGGTTTCTACATTCGCGATGAGTGCACCATGTTTCTCAGAACGGTCTCGGAG